TGCTGGAACTTTGTAGTCACAACTCGCAATCGTTGGGTTCTTCACGCCGATCATCAATTCCATTGTTGGTTATGGTTTCCCTGACCCATTTGCGGATTTCTTTTCCCCATGGTGCTTTTAACGGCTTCGACCTTCCATGATTTAGCTCTACTAAATGCCGATTCCGGTGGTGGCATAATAGCCTTACGTTGACTCATTCTAGGTCGCTTGTGGTCAGGTGCTATGTCTATTTGGTAGGCGCCCCCTGTGGTAGCTCTCTTCACCCTTTGGAGGCTAGTCTGGTGTTCTCCCTTCTCAACTTCGCCCCGTTGCACCTTGTCATTGCTCGTCAGAGCTCCCGTGAAGTGCAGGAGCCTCGAGTGTACTCCAGAGCAGCCATCTATACCACATACCATCTTCTGGCTGCACTCTGTTATCCGGTGATTATGACCCAGGCAGGCATAGCAGCGACGTTGTTCCCTTACAAGGGAAGTTCGCTTTCCTGTGGACATGCTGAGGAATGTCCGGCACATCTGAAGAAGGTGATCTGCACGGCATAGCGAGCAGCGTTCATCGTCCATTTCTCTGGTTGTCTTTATTCCTGATGTCACCAGACCCACAAGTCTCTTCCTCGACGAGGATTGACGTGAGTCTGCATAAATTCTGCTTGGTTCTTCCTGTCCTCGTCCCTTTGTGACCTCCTCCGCCTTGTCGACCATATCCATTGTGAATTCCAAGATCCACTCGATCCCAGGAAGCTTTCCCCACTTCCTTTTGTATTTATGCGCCTTATCCACGTAGTCGTCCCTCATCTTTCCCTTGAACCTCTCAGCTAACGTGCTTATTGATTCATACGTGTCAATCTGACGTAGTTCTCCCAAGACCTTCAAGTTCCTCACGCAATTCCCCAGTTCGTCTGAGAACTGTTGGAGGCCCTTTGCGTCACTTAGTCTCACAGTTGGACCTCGCAGGGCCTTCTTTATTAGCTGGCAAAAGTAAGTGTGCTTATTGCCGTGACGTTTCTCTAATATGTCCAAAGCTTCCTTGTACTCGGCTTTGGGATCTTGAATTTGCAGACATCCCCGCAAAGCGTCCTTAGCGGGCCCAGCGTAGGCAGCGAGAAGTGTCTCTAATTTCAAGGTATCAGGTATCTGCGCCATCCCAACGCGTCGCTGAAAGACTCGCTTGAACTCCCAGTATTCACTACAAGTTCCTCCGCTGAACTTCGGCGTTGGCCTTTGGGAGAACCTCATATTCTCTAGCAGTTCTCTCACCCAAACATCGGACCTCGGTGGGTCGTCCCTTTTGTCTTTCATCAAAGGTAGTGGTTTCGGCGAACTAGCTTGATGTTCGGAAGTACTTCCACGCTCCCCCTGGTCAGATGTTCCCGGCTCTGCGGTTAAGGTGAGCGCCGGGAGTCCCCTTGGAGTATATAACGTTTCTTCGTTAGTTTCAATTACAGAGGAAAGTTTAGTCTCTGGTGGTGATAACACCTTTCCGCGATCTTCTGTGCTGCCCTTGCCTTGTAGTTGATTCTTACCTTCGGTGACGTTTTGCATCATCGCTGTCATGTGAGCGAACATTTGCTGCATTTGTTGGTATTGCTCACATAATTGTCCTTCGATTCCTTTAACAGGTGGTTCCTTTCTCTTCTCGGGAGACAGGTTTACGGTAGACGGGTTTATCTCACGCTGCCTTGGCGAGGTGGGTGAGACATCGGTCTCTGTCCACAGTGTTTCCTTGTTCTACGCCGGACACGCTCCCCACTTCTGACTTATTCTCTTTCCCGTCCATGACTGCCCGAACAGCATGCGTAATCTGTCTTGCTCGATAAGTGTATGCAGTAACGCTTAGTATCAGGTGCCCACGATCGCAGTTATCACACAATTGGAGTTGATGTCACACAGACGCGTGCCATGCGCACGAGTGATATCACACACGAGCGAAGTCCCTCTAAACACGTGACGAGCAATACCCACGAGTGATGTCACACAAACACGACCACAGTGATGTCACACGGTCCCTCAAGCACGTGACGTGCAATACGCACGAGTGATGTCACACAAACACGACCACAGTGATGTCACACGGTCCCTCAAACACGTGACGTGCAATACGCACGAGTGATGTCACACGGTCCCTCAAACACGTGACGTGCAATACGCACGAGCGATGTCACACAAACACGACCACAGTGATGTCACGCACGAGCGACGATGTCACACTAACATAGCCACAGTGATGTCACACACGAGCGATGTCCCTCAAACACGTGACGTGCAATACGCACGAGTGATGTCACACTAACACAACCACAGAGATCCACAATCAATGTAGGGACTCGTTACACAACTGATGTCACAAACACTACTGCGGCGCCCTTACTTGTACAACGTTACGGCTTGTCACAATCTTTGTTGTTATTTCTTAAATTACACACACACATACTTATATATACATATATACATACATATACATATAACCTGAATGTTGTACACACTTAACCCACAAATCCCTTTCATTTATGTATTTCTTCATGGTTCCTTATCATCATTGTTTGATATACTATGGTGTCACTGGTATAGGAAGATCAGCTGTTAGTTATAATCACTTGCGTGCGTGTCCGAGCGAACGCTAACTACCAGTTCGCCCAGACCAAACATTACGACACTGTCCGGGTGTTTTGAAACCTTAGCTCACTAGGTGCCGGCCTCCCTGTTCGGAAATGAACGCTCACAGCCCCGTACGCGCAGACCGAAGCTTTACGACACTGTCCAGGTATTTAAGACACTTCACTCAAACACAGAACACTCGCTATCACTGTCTCGCTGCTGACGACGCACGTGATCCACCCACTGTGGGTGGGTGGGTGATCTACCCACTATGGGTGGGTGGGCGATCGACGAGCCTATGCTCTCCCACGCTGAACTCCGGCGTTGGTCCTTCGACAGTCCTCCCATATACGTTTTGACTGTTAACGCTCATAGGAGCGTTATTGGTTTGTTGCTGGAGAAATAAACCCTCAACGTTGACGCGTACCATATAATTCGATCAAAACCTGCTAAAGAACATTTCTCATATAATAAATGCTGTTATCTCAGGACACATAGTATGAATAATACAATCAATATACAGTACATGGCCTGTTAACATCTTAAATATAACTCACATGTTATAACTATTGATACAGGAGACAATTGGTATAATATGATCAAATTACAGTACACAAATATACTTATTAAAGTTATTTAGAGTTTCTTAGCAGATTCTAATACTTCACGATCACTCACGTTTTAGGGTCTAGTGGTCTGAACCAACGTGTTGTCTGTCCTGTAGAAATCAGTAGACTACCCTCGAGGGCAATCTCAGCCCGGAGGCGAGGGCCATATGTTTCCGTATTGAAACACCTCAGCAGATTGGTCAACAAATTCGTTGTCAACACTATATCTCTTATCTCACCCCCCCCCCTCTCTCTCTCGCCTAGTTTATCTTATTATGGTTATCCCTCTCTTTCTCTCTCTCTTCTAGCTTATTTTACTGTGGCGGTAACAATTACATTATAGTGATATTTGACAAATCAACACTTCTAAGTATATTTTGTATATTTTGTACAACTTTTTATATTTCAACTCATCATTAAACATGTTTAATTTAGGTTAAAAATGAGTGTCGTAAAATTTTTAAAAATTTCCTCCTTGGAAATTTGGAAATGGCCACCCTAGCTGTAACCCCTTGTGGGGCGAGCGTCCGCCAGCTCCAAGTGAGGACACTCGACTGAGTAGTGCCCCATGAGATGCTTATGCACCTCAACTAGGTCACCCCTTGCCCGTTCGTTGTATAAGCTAAGCAAGTTCAGGCACTCCAATCTCTCAGGGTATCTGAGGTGCCGAAGTGCACGCACCAGTCTGGTGGCCCTCCTTTGATGACACCTGTATAGAAATCTTTCAAGAGCATTGTAGGGGTAAAGTGATGTTCTCGGCTTAAATTTTAGGAGAATACTGATGTTTGTCTTCGTTGATCCCCCTTTTATAAGGTTGGTTTGGGTCTTGGTGTTCAGGTCAGGTCAGGTCCATAGACTACGGATATTGCGGTAGTCCGCACGCTATAGTTACATCGAGCAGTGTTATCACCCTCATAAATATGACCTATTAATGAATATGATCTATATATTTGTGTATGAACCTCTGTCCTTCGTGGCAGTGAGAAGTGATAGCACCATCAGTGTCAAAACTTAACTGAATTACTCAGAATACGCAAACTGGACTCCAAGCTTGCCAATAAATTTGTTAACCGTAACCGGGGACCAGATGGGGAAACAGTACAGTACCCCATTCAGAGAAGCACGTCACTTTTGAAGAGCGTCACGACCTTCTTATAAGACATAACAGTTTGGTTGCTTGATTCACCGTCTTCAGTTCATAATGGTAATGTTAATGCGTTCCTGTTACTGTAATACTTAACATGTTTCCCTTTAAAAAAATCTTATGATATAGTAAATATAATATTTTACATGTCCTAGGAGGGTTTTGTCCAGGGTTGTGACACTTTTTCCTGTGCTTATTCCCACCCTCAGCAGATACATCCTGAAATCAGTGGACTGTAATGTACATGCCCAGTATTTGCCAACAGTGCGTAACAGATGCGTAACCGACCACCCAAGGGGCTTAACCGATCAGTGGTGTTCTTGACGTCATATTTTCACTAGGCATGTTGTGAACTTGTGGTGCTTAGTTGACATATGCGTGTTAGATGATGGATAATGATAATAATGGTATTAATTACAATAATTATATTATGATTAACTAATGACAATATTAGTAATATATATAATAATAACAATATAATGACGGAAAACGGTCATCAACTGCGATTCATGTTTAGAAACTTGTATAATTGAATTTAATTTTATAATAAAAATTATACACTATGAAAAATGTATATATTTTTTAAATTACAAAATTTTATAAATGCATGTTAATATTAATACATGAGATAAATTTTAAAAGAATCGCAAATGCGAGGTAAACAAATCCACATGTACACTACAGTCTCAGAGCTTTGGGTGACGATAAGGCCAGGTGGGGTGTGGTGCAGTGTATTGTGGCCAGCCTACCACTCACAGTCAATAAGGTATCGTGTAATTATACTTTATTTCTTTCGAATGACATTTAAGATCAAGAATTGTTATTAAGTCTGGGAATATTTTTTCGGGTTTAGATAGAACATTACCTGAAGTAAAGTGGAGGCCTGGTACCCCTTGAAGGTATTATTTTAATTTCGGTAATCCGGGGAATCGGTTACCGTTAGGTTACATTAGAACAGTTTGGATATCGGTATAACTGCAGTTTTGGACAATATCGATCTCGAGTTGAGCTCAAACATATATGAGCAATTGGGGTTGGGTGTAAATGGGACTGCCCAGTATGGGCCAATATGCCCGCTGCAGCTTCCTCTATTCTTATGTTCTTATGTGTTTTTCTGAGGGTTTAGACAATTTTTAAGACACTTTTCTTGGCGAATATTTAGTAGTTGCCACCACCTAACTGATTATTGAGTCATATATGGGAAGATAGAGAAACATAAATGGTAATTATATAGGACTAACCCGCGAGCAAAATTGGTTGAAAACAATTATAAATATGCCTTATTTTCAATGTTATATTATAGTGGACACTTGTAGTTTGTGGAAATATGTTAAAGTGCTCAAATGACTGCAGTAGATATTTTGCCTTTTTGTTTGTCGGTAATGGATGAGTAACTAACCAGAGTGGCCTCACGATAAAATAGCGTTAGTAGGAACTTAGCCGGTCACAGCAAGCTTCCAGTGCCAATTTAAAAACACTGCGATCTCACTGTGTTTTATAGTGGACACTGTCGTAGTTTTGGTAAATGTGAGTATTTTTTTACATGTTGCCCATAATGTCTCACAATATTTTTAGGTCCAGTTCTAGGTATATCTCGCCATTTCTAACAACTTTTTAAAGTAACATTTCCCTCGCAAATTATTTGTTTTCGACAAACTCGCATTTAATTTGTTATGGAGTCATTGAATATTTTCTAAGCCCAATGTTGATGTTGCCTGTGTCCTCAGAGAGCTGTTTCTATGTTTTTTACTAGTCTGCAGTACACATGAGCTATAGTCTGACCTAGGTGACCTGCTCATGCTTAATAAGGTAAGGTTAGATTAGTTTGGTTAGGGTGGTTGTTTCAATAGGAATATGTTGGGGGGGGTCATGGGGCAGAGCCCCCCAATCAGCTAGGGGTTCAAATTTTGAACAATGGCAGTTAGGTCAGTTTAGGTTAGCACAGAAACTGATTTTGAGATGAAACCTAGGGTTTGATAATAATCTTTTGCCAAAACTTGGCTCTGATTCTCAAATTTTGGCTTTTCATTACTTGTTAAAGTCAGAAAGTTCGAGCCAACTTTGGTTATTTATATAGCATATCACGTGCTTTTGCTCCCCCCCCCCACCCAAAATCCCCTATTTCCCACGGTCCCCACGATTGTCATATTCAGAAAGAGTCATTTGCATATAGAAATGAGGGTCAATTGTTAAAAACATTAAAAAAAAAAACTTGGAAAAACTTGAGTGTCATGTCCAAAACCATTACGGGCAACTTGTAAAAATTTACCCAAATGTGTTAAAATGTGTTGATTTAAACATAGTGAATATTTTGCCATGACTGGATATGTTCCTTCTAATGCTATTTTACTGTGAGTGTGTTCTGATTGGCTAAGTACTTTCTGTTTAGTATGACGGGAGTCTGCCCCTTGGCTTGGAAGTTAGGTAGGCTTCTTTGGTTGGTTTGGTTCTATTACGTTCTAGTAAATGTTGCCTCTTTTTTAATGATAAGTTTCCACACACAACAGAAATAAGAACATAAGAAAATAAGGAGTCTGCAATAGGCCAGTTGGCCTGTGCATGGCAGCTCCTGTCGAGAGTTACTACCACTCTCTATCATCCATGAATCTATCTAGCCTCCTTTTAAAACTTTCCAGAGTTCCCGCACTTACTACAAAGTTGCTAAGCTTGTTCCACTCGTCAACCACCCTATTTGTGAACCAGTTTCTTCCTATCTCCTCCTAAACCTAAACTTATCCAACTTGAACCGTTGTTCGGAGTCCTATCCTGCTCAGATATTATAAGAACTTTATCTATATCCCTTTATTGATTCCTTTCACCCACTTAAATACTTCTATCATATCTCCCCGACTCTTCGCCTTTCTAGGAATGTAAGTTAAGTTTCTTTAACCTATCCTGATATGGAAGGTTTCTAAGTCCCGAATCATTTTTGTCATTCTTCGCTGCAACACTCTAGTGAATTTATATCCATTCTATAATAGGGGCACCAGAACTGAACCCATAATCGAGGTGCGGCCTGACTAGCGCAAGATATAGTTGCAATAAGACCTCTGCATTCTTGTTACTTACACTTCTAGATAAAAACCCAATACTCTGTTTGCCTTATTTCGAACATTAACGCACTGTTTTCAGGCGTAGGTCCGGGCTTATAAGTACCCTAGGTCTCTTTCACAAGTCGACTTCTCTAGGTTGATGTTGTTAAGGCTGTATACATTATAAGTAGTTCTTCCAATATTAAGTATCATGCAATTGCTGGTGTTGAATTTTATTTGCCATTTTTCAGACCACCCTGCAGTTTATTTAGATCCTCCTGTAATGCATTTGCATCCTGCCCTGAATTAATTTGTCACTCTATTTTGGTGTCATCCTGAAACTTGCTTATGTCACTGCTGATCCCAGTATCTAAATCGTTTATGTAGATTATGAACAAGAGTGGGCCTAGTACTGACCCCCTGGGAACCCCACTGGTTACCGGCCCCACTCAGATTTAACACCATCTCGCTGACCCTTCTGCGTTCTATCGGTGAGCCATGATTTTATCCAATTTAAATCTTCGATACCATGAGCCTTAATTTTTTCAGAAGCTTCCTGATGCGTACTCTGTCAAATGCTTTGCTAAAGTCTAAGTAAATAACATCGTAATTTTCGTCATTATCTACTACCTCAAGACTTTCCTAAAAACGTTAGCAGATTTGTTAGACAAGATTTTCCTTTGTAAACCCATGTTGAGAGTCGAGATTAATTTGCTTTCTCTAGACATCGATGCTATCTGCTATAATTGATTCAAGAAATTTCCCCACTACTGACGTCAAACTGATCGGCCGGTAATTTGACGCTGATGCTCTGTCTCCCTTTTTGAATATGGGTACTACATTTGCCTGTTTCCACAACTCTGGCACAACTCCAGTGTCTAATGATTTTGTAAATAAGTTTACGAGGGGTCCGCTAATCTGTTCCCTACACTCTTTCAAGACTCGAGGGAAAATTTCATCCGGCCAGTCACAGTCAGATATAGTTCTTGCGTTGCTCGCCGGTAATGGACGATTAGCCAATCAGAGCATGCTCACTTTAATATAGCATTAGTAGGAACCTAGGCAATCACAGAAACTGTAACTGATAAATAATGCAAATATAACATGTTAAAGAAGACTTAGGGGTAGAATTCTAGAATTATGTAGTACTGTACAGTAATGTCTAGTTATTTACTCATGTAATGGTGTGTTGTTGTTGTGGATGGTGGCTTATCTGTACTGGGCCATGTTCAGGCATAATGGACAAATGTATAGATAATGCTGTACAGGCTTTCGGTAGCCTCTATGTTTACTTAAGTTCTTGAATAGAATCCCCCCCCCCCCACACACACACACACACACACACGTATATATACATATACATATACAGTGTACTGTATATACAATACAAGTAAAATAAATAATGTTCTAAGGGCAAATACATATAGGAAATATACATATCTTTGTACTGTACACAATACAAAATTGATTGGCAAGCAATGATTAGGATTTACTTTTTTTTTTTTCTTTTTTAGCATCTTGTGCCCACACATGTTGATGAAGATCTAGTCTGGTATACTTTATGATGCTGATCAACTCATTGTTGACTTTTCTCTGTCACTGGATATTAAGTGAGAGCCTTTTTCAGGAGACAAGTTATTACAGGTTCTCCGAAGAGCTTAATGTTATGAAGAGAACACATTACACTAGGTAACAGAGATGAGTCTATGGTGACCCTGTGACTCCTTTCTTTAGTGGTTTTGTGCCCTACATAGAATTTATTCTAATTCTTGCTCAGACAGAGACAGTGAAATTAACTCCTATGGAATTGTTTTTCTCATTCTAAGTGATAGTTCTTGTAGTACAAGTGAGGAGTTAGAGACAGACATAGGCTGTTGATAGACTGTTGATATAGTTAAAGATGGCTACAGAGGTAGACATAGGCTGTGTATATAGTTAGAGATAGACATAGGTTGTGTATATAGTTAGAGACGGACATAGGCTATATACACTCGGTAAAAAAAAAGTATCTCTCAGGAGGGTCCGATGAATTTGGAACTGAATAATCCTGTTGTCTCAATAGGGTTGGCAGGCGTGATTGTGAGGCATTTCCTACCTATTATGATGGGCCTAATTTAGTTATTTATTTCAAAATATAAAATTAGTTTGTTACTGTATAATATGATTGGTGAATAACAGTATGCCTCTTGGGCCCTTATAAATACACCTTAGTTCATGGTGGCATTTTGTTCTGCACATGAATTTGTAAAGAAGTTTTTTACCAAGTGTACAGTATATGGTTAGAGGCAGACATAGGATGTTAATAGTTGCATTTGCCTGGTGGTGGGATTTTTCTACCTCAGATATTTTCAGTTGTGAGAATTTGTTTTTCATCAGATGGGTTTCCATTCCTCTAGTCTAAAGGCTTTGAACATGTGGACATTGGTCTCTGTCCCCCATCCCTCTTTTTATTTTTCATCTTTAACTATATGGGATATAAATTTCGGGGAGAAGTATTCAGTTGTTATATATTTTTTTTATTAATAACATGTCATCTGTGGCATGTGTTGAAAATGGGGTGCTTTTAGGTTTTTTTTTTAGTGGGAGATATTGAAGAAATTTTTCATCCTAACTTTAAAGCTTTCCTATACTGTGCAGTTGTGCCTAAACACATTACTGTATTAAGGCAACTGCATTTCAGTGCTGCACTGTAATCGAGGAATGTTTGTTGATTGGAGTTTAAATCTAGAAATTTGTACAGGTATATTACTCTGAGGATTTGCAATGTTTTTTAGGATGCCGAAAGCCCCATCAGTAAAAAAGTGCCGTGTGCACAAGGAGGTAAGCCGTGTGAGCATGAAGGCTGGGATAAAAGGGGCAAAACCTGCATCAAGTGCACCAGCACAAGGACTTGTCTTCAACACAGACTTAGGGCAACACATCCTTAAGAACCCTCTCATCATCACTTCTATGGTTGAAAAAGCTGGATTAAAGACAACGGACACTGTACTTGAGGTTAGTATTTAATGAAGATTTTATTCATTGTTCTGTAGAATTATATATGTCAAATTTATTGTTTAAGTTAGGATAATGAATTGGATGGATGTAATGTATTCTTAAAACTCAAACAATACTTTTTTTTTTTGGAGATATTTACTGTACTGTATTTAAATGTTTTACAGATTTGTAACGAAGTTAATCTTGACTCACTTAAACTAAGATATAGTTTTCTTGAAAAGTGTGAGCTATAATGAATTGCTCTAAAACTCTCCAAACACAATAGGTTGGTCCGGGAACTGGAAATATGACTGTAAAGCTCCTGGATCGAGTAAAGCGAGTGATAGCATGTGAAGTAGACTCGAGGATGGTAGCAGAATTACACAAGAGATTCCTTTCTACTCCACTCCACTCAAAACTGGACATTAGAATTGGTGATGTTCTTAAGGCCGATCTCCCAACATTTGATGTGTGCGTGGCAAATTTGCCTTACCAGGTTTGTATATACTGTGCTGTATAAGCAGTGTTTTATAATTGCTTGTTGTGGCTAGGTATAACACAATTGCTCATATTAACCTTTAAGGCAGCAGCACACTGGGCACTTTCCTCCAAACATGTTTGGTAAACATTGTCCGGCCAGCAAAACAAAGAGACGGTTTGCGTCACACTGGGATGTTTTGTTGGCGCATCTGCCCAGTGCAATGAAAACAACAACAAAGTGTCTAGACGAGGTTCACCATGGATCCCGTTACTACAGTAGAGGCCTTGCAGGATTGTGCAATAGTTCTTGAATTGGTGAAACAAGTGAGGCGTTTGCAAAAGCTAAAGAACAGACAAATGGGCGCTACATGAAGTTTCTTTAAAAGTGGCGGCGGCTGGCTGGTCAAAGAAGACCCTGAATAATGCTTTTATAATACTAAAGATGTTTTAAAGTGACAAATAAATAGAAATACTGGATGTCACTGTTTATGTGTTATATTTTAAATGATTATTGTTTCATGATTTATTTTTGTATTTATTTTTTTAAATTATAGGAAGCTCATTTGAGCACTAATCCAGCCAGCAAAGACCCCGACAAACTGTTGTCCATTTCTAGCAACAACCGAAATTCTGCTGCTTGTTGGGCGTTTTGGCCAACGGTCAGCTTAGCTGGCAACATGTTTGGAGGAAAGTTCCCAGTGTGTCGCCACCTTTAAAGGTCTGATGAATCTTGGGAAGTCTCTCTTTAGAAACTGAATATGTAGTAGGCTAAAAAACGAAAATCATAAAAGAAGTGTTCTAGTCTTATAAAATATTAGACATATATGTTAGTCAATAGGAAATAACACAATTGCAGGTATTACTGGCGAGTTGGAGAAGTCGGCGAGACATCGTACCTCAGCACCCCTCTAGCAGTTATCGTGCATCTGGGAGTGAACGGCGACACTATACCCTCCTCATTTGTTATGATGAGGTCCAGTGGCTTGGGTGATTTGCTCCCCTCTGTAATGCGTCGGGTCTTTCACATGCTGGAACAGAAAATTTTCTCTCGGAGTTTCTACAAAAAGAGTAGTGGGGTTATTTAGGTCATTTAGCGTGTGCTCATTTTTCCAGTCGATGTCGCCATAGTTAAAGTCCCCTATGATAAGGAGGTGGCTAGGGTTGAGCTTCGCTGCATTGTCAATTAAAGATCTTAAGTTCCTTTGGTTGGTGAGCTGCAGTTTGGGGATCTGTAAATGCACCCGACAATAAGTACATCTCCCTTCAACTTAATTTTACACCACTTTGATTTTTCAAAAACATCTTCTCCCTGTACCCTCACCTGGCTGGCTCTAAGGTCTTGCCTAGCATAGATAACGTCACCCCTCCTGCAAGATACTTGAGAAAAGTTCGTAAATAAGTCGTATCCGTCAATACTGAACTCGCATTCCTCCGGGTCTATTCTTCTATTCTTGTACAACAGTTCTACAATTCCTACTATTTCTGGTTGATGTACCTTCTGTAGTGTTTCAAACTCCTCCCTCTTATCAAGGAACGTGTCAGTATTAGTGTACATGACATTTAAGCCGGAATTTGTTCTCGGTAACGCCTCTGCTCTTGGTAATAACTCCGGCCCCTGTCAATTCTCAGTGGCTGCAGCATTTGCCAAATACACTGTGTTTTGCAGGGTGTGGTTAGAAATTTCATTGTTTACACGGCGCCAACCTCTTACCGGGTGGGAGGTAGAGCCGCTGCCTCCTCCTGGGTGGGAGGTAGAGTGGGTGGAGGGTTGCCCCCGTTCAACCTCGACTCTTCCCTCCTCTGCTTCAAGCCGTGCATGAGCTTCCTGTGCTGTTCCCTCTGTAATATCTTGCGATCTGGGTGAATGAATACATTCCGGAATGTTTCGCTACTGGCCAAGTTTTTTGCCTGCCGAATAATTTTCCATTTCTTCTCTTCACTCACTAGTGTGTTCCTGAGGGGTCGAGGCTTGTCCTCTGCTTTTGTCCCAGCCTCCTCACATCCTGAGGGTGGAATGACATATTTAGAACCTTTGTACAAATACTCTTAAACTGCAACGTGTCTTGTGATTTCCTAGTCTCCGCTTTCTCCGACTGGCTCTCAGGGACTCCATGAACTATTACGTTGTTCCTGCGCTCGAAATGTTACCTTTGTTCCTCCTCTCTCCTAACAGTAGGTCTGCTAGTTGCCATCTCTTCGACACACTTCTTCAGAGTCCCTAGCTGCTGTAGAACTTTTTTGGATCCTGCATTACTCTCCGTTACCTCCCGTGGGCCTTTTAAGACCTGATCATAACTCCTCTTCACTACCCCCTCCATTCTATCGTCTACTTCCTCAGTCTTATCCGTGATATTTTTCCCAACTTGTTCTAGTTTGGCAACCAGCAGGGCTTCAGCTTTGTCTATTTTTGTCCCTAGGAAACTTGTTTCCTTATGGCTTGCAATTGCCTCATCCACCTTGACTCTGCAGTCAGGGCAATACCTGCAGCATCCTCTCTGCTTTACTGCATTCTGTAACATCCTAAACTGGGTTAGGCCCACACCATCTATATCCATCGTCGCCCTGCAGTAATTGCATGTCAACAGACTTCCTGGTGCCGCTGTAGACACACACAACAAAACACATACAAATAAATAATAATGGTGAAATCCTCTCACAATCATCAGAAACAAGACAACAAAATGTTTAAAAAATGTGAGTCTACCCTCAAGTCAATTCCAGACTTTGTTATTAAAGTTATAACAAAGCACAGAGTTGATTTGAAGGTAGACTCACATTTTTAATAAATTTCTGTTGTCTTGTTTCTGATTGTTTGTGAGGGTATTTTCCCATTATTATTTATTTGTATGTGTTTTTTGTGTGTGTGTGTGTTTACACACACATACACACATATACAATACAGGTAAAAGAAATAATTGCCCTAAGGGCAAACACATAAATGGAATATACATTTCTTTGCACACTTCATCCATGTAACTATTAAGCAATCATGGGCATGAGTGAGAGGCGGTAACTTAATTCTTTCCCTTGTTATCCCTGCAGATTTCATCGCCATTTGTCTTCAAGTTATTACTTCATCGGCCAATCTTCAGGTGTGCGATACTTATGTTTCAACAGGAATTTGCCGAACGTTTAATTGCCAGGCCTGGTGACAAGTTGTATTGCCGACTAACTGTTAACACACAGTTGTTAGCCAAGGTAGATCATCTCATGAAAGTTGGCAAGAATAACTTCAGGCCCCCTCCTAAGGTACAGTTACTGTTTGTAAATATTGTTTTGTGTGTCATTCAATAAGTTCATAATTGTCAGTGGTGCACAAAGTACTGGAAAATGTTACTTTAGTAAAAGTACTGTTACTGGAAGGAAAATTGTTGAAGTAAAAGTAAAAAATACCTTCATTGGAAATTAGTTTAGTAAAAATAATAAAGTAACTGAACACAGAAGTACTTATGTCCAGAAAGTAAAAATAAATCTCCTCAAATAGAATTTGTTTAGTGATAAAATGCAACCCCAATATTGAACTAGGTATAACACAGCAGTTATCTCTTAACTTTGGGTAAAAACTACATGTGGTCATCACTGTAGCTGCAAACTAATTTTCCTATGAACCTTTTACATTATGAGAGGCCTTGATAAGAGAGAAGATAGTTCTGTTTGAAATAACTGAAGACAAACATACTCATCATTTAGTGTTCTTCAGGGTGCTAACTCTGAAATTCTAAGCTTTGAAAAAGCCAAGAGTTCTCTATTTCTGACTCTTCTTTATTGATTTCCTCCCAGTTAATTCTCTGTAGTTTGTCTCACATGAGCTGGTAATCTCATAGTATACCTCCTCAGCTACTTTATCTTGACTTTTAAAGATTGTTTTCCATCTTAGTATGTCGTGGTTGCTGATTGGAATTAGTTTAACCCAACGTGGACCTTGTCCACCAAAGCCTCCTCATTTGTAAAGACTAAATCCAGAATGTTGTCTCCCCGTCGTAAGTTGGGGAGTAGCTGTATATTGTGTGAGGACTCAATCTTGAATGAGATCAAGAGATCAAGGAATTCTTCTCCCTTGGCTTGTGTGGTAATATTCTCCCAGTGAATTGTCTCAGGATTAAAATCTACCATGAACAGGGCTTGCTCTCTTGATGCTGCCTGAATGACTATGGAGATCTACTACTTCCTCCACTAAGGCTGAGTCAGCCCAATAGTACACACCTACTATCAGCTTACTTATGTTTTGAGCTATTAAATCACACCAAATAGACAAGAATGATCCCATTTCGTTTTGCTTGACATTAATGGTTACTGTCAGGTGCTCCTTAAGATACAGTAGTACACCACCACCTCTGGTTGCCCTATTGTATTTAATAGTGAGGTTTGAAGCTAAAAAATACCGGAAGCAATTATTTTCCTTTACTTTTAGGTGGAATCAGCAGTGGTGAGAATTGAGCCCAAGAATCCTGTACCTAACATTAACTTCTCAGAGTGGGATGGTCTCCTCCGTATTGTCTTTGTTAGAAAAAACAAAACACTATCTGCTGCATTCAAACAGTCTTCTGTATTACAGGTCAGTTTCTCATTAGTTGATTACTCTGTAAACTGTAGGTGAGTAGCAGTACGTGCTACCTGCTAATATTAATCTATGATTTGGCTATAGAAGATTTTTTAAAGTTGTCAAGGCAGAGTTCTTTTACTGAACTCGGTATTTTTAGAAACATCAGTTCTTTGTGTTGATGTGCTGTTTATTATTACTGTATTGTTATTTTTAATGACATTCTCTGATTATCTTTCTCATATATATGATCAAAGTAAAGATTTCTAGTAATGGTTGGTACAGTACATATTTGGTTGCAATGTAGAGGATTAAAAGCTAAGTTAAGGCAGGAAAGAGGTTGTTGGGTGTAGGATAGGTTAGGAAGTATGGAAATTGTAGAAGTTGAGAGAGCACATCATATATGTATTGATTAGAAGATTCAGGAACATACATAATACAGTAGAACCTCAGTTATCTGAAGTCCTGGTAACCGGCAGATTCAACTAACCGGCACCAAAATGAAACAACAATAATAATAATAATAATAATAATTCTTACATTGTCGGGTAGAATCGTAAGTTTGAATACTGCATGCAATGGGGATGAGCTGCCATATATTTTACTATGATAAACAATAAAATTGATACATAGCATACCATAAAATACAATAGCACATATTATTTAAAAAAAAAATAGCTCTTTCCACACTCAAACGATCCTCTGGGATGATGCGGCCCACTTCAGCCAAGCAGTCAACCAGCTGACTCAAATACGTTTGGCTGCTGGGCTGTGTGTATGCTATGACGTCACTTCGGGGGAGGGAGTGGGCCACTCCTTTATAGCCTACCGCCTCCACACTTCCCACACATATACACCCATGCTCTTCATTTTTCTTAATTTATAGTTTATATTATATTTTTTATATTTTTAAGCCACTTCGTTTATATAGAGTGGAATAAGTGGTAAAGAAGTCTGTTTTTCTGAGACACCAATTTGCAAGGTCAGCCTTAACACACTGCATTGTAGGATCTTAAGAGTGAGGTTCAAGTAACTGGAAAATCTCTGTCCGGCACCTCTCAATCCCCATAACTTGTTTGTCCAAAGTATATTGATGCTGTTATTCATACTTTGTATATATTTACAGTAAACCTTCAAAAGTCAGGACAATTTGGGGGGAAAGGGGGGTCTGGACTTGCCGATTGTCTGGACTTTTGAGATTTTTTTTGTGGGGGAGAGTTTCTGGGGCCTACTGTTCACTAAGTAGCCAGTCATTAGTCCACCACCCCCACCCTTTTGATGACCCATAAATTTTTATATTAATGTGCAATTAATGTTATGTGTGCTTCCTTTTACAGTTTTCCTTTATAGTACTACAGGCACTGTACTGTACAGTTCATAAAAAATATATATTTTTTATAAAATATATTACCTTAATTATTCATAAAATATACTGTATTCTGTATAGTCTTTAATGGGGATACTGTACAGTGGTCTAATCAGATTTGATATAGGCCTAACGAGAGCTACTAGGTATGACATATGACACTTCATTAGTAAACATGCTGGAGGCGGGGTGGGACTCGCTGTTGTCACTTTCATCACTTTGTTTTTATTTATTCTTTATTATATTCTTATATGATCAGCCTCTTACGGTATTAAATTATAGACAAAAATAAGATAAATAATTTGTAATTTGACTTTAAAAGGACAGGCTCAATCAGAAGGTAATCTCTTCCCTGACCACTCATCCCTTACTCCATAAAGGAGGAGGGGGTTGGGACTAGTCATTGTCACGTTTGTCACTTCGTTTTTATTTATTCATTATTATATTCTCATATCATCAGCCTTTTATGGTGTAAGTTTAATTAAAAATAATAGAAAAAATACAATATATAATTTGTAACTTGGCTTCAGAATAATGGAGAGTGTGTTCGTGCATGTGACATATGGATGATGCAATACACACTCGTCTTCTGCTCTTCCCAGGAGGATTACCATCGCTGTTGTTTGAATTATTCTACCTAAATTTTATTATTATTCTGTGGTTGAATATGTGTTGAGCTTAAAGCTAACCAATCACAGTGCAGCATTATGGGAGAGTCTATTTTAAGAGTAGTGGAATAAACTGCTCACATATGGGTCCAAGGGGAGGAAAGAGGCAAAAGGATTGCTTGCTGGCAGCAATTTCAAATGACTGTGCATGGTGCAAATTTGAAATGACAAATATTTAAGTGTTTAAAATGTTTCTTGCCCAGAAAAGGTCCGGACTATCTGAAATCTGGACTTAGAGGGTTTGGAATATTTTGACATTATTCAACAATTTCCGAACTTTTGTGTTAGATTATTCATTCGTTTTCTGTTCAGTTTTGAACTTTATTTAGATTGTTCTTCATTATTCCAACCCACAAACACATTCAGTTACTATACAGTAAATACTGTAGTGCAGTACTGTAATAAATAAATATAACACAAACACTATGAGGTGAGCTAATAATATGTAGATGTTGAATTACCCTCCTGTGCCACCACAGTGGCAACCCCTACTTACACAAATTTTCCCCCATACTAACTGGATTTTGGTTGTGTTTTTTCTGGTTGGGGATACATGTGTCCGGTGCTGGACCCTTGTCCGTTTTGCAAGGAAATCTGTATTAAGTGAGTCTGGGTTAGAGGGAGCTTACTGTATACAATACTGTATATATAAATAAGCTTTAATCTGTCATTGGTCTCCTACAATCACCATATATATTACTCCTCAACGCATGTGAAAACAAGTACAGTACAGGTATACTGTAAACTCGTCTCTCACACTACAATACATCGCTGAGCCAGTTACCTAATTGTCCAATTTCTCCATATATACATTAAAACCTTGATAAATTGGACTTCAATATATCGGAATTAGCTTTTTCGGACTCTATGAGGGGCTCTGGTCACCAGAAATACAAAAAAAAAAAATTCTGAAATGGGGAAGATTAAATAAAAAAAACTTATGAAATGAACAACACTTATTGTACTATACAGTGGTCTAATCAGATTTGCTATAGGCCTAATGAGACCTAATTCACTTCAGTATGTAAGCAGGGGCTGATCAGGAGTTGCCGCATTCATCAGATTTATTTATTTATTGATTCAGTATTATATTCCCATATGATTGGCTCTTATGGTTTATGGTTCATCATGATTAATATAACATCTTCAGTAATAGAGAAAAATACAATACTGCATGTAATTTGTAATAAGACTTGAAAATAAAGGGATACTCTGTATCAGAAGGTTATTTAATAAGATGCGTTCGTGTGAGAGATTTCAGTAAACCAGCTTACAACAGGGGTCACTATAACACTGTATGAGTGTTATATGATGACTCAGATTGGCTACTTGTGCACTTAGACTAATGATTAATGAATAAACCAGTGTATATGCAGATGCATAATGCTGTACACTACAATATTACTTATTAAGTGATGATAAATACACTGCAATAGCATTTATTAAGTACATGGTGATAAATACATGACTGTACTGTGCTAATTTACAGTGTTGAAGACACACATTTGGTAAGCCAATCAGCTGTTTACCCTTTATAAACAAATGGGTATGAAATGACTCAAGGTGTTTAGTGTCAGATTCTTATTTCAGGAAAGCTGATTCTTTTAGGATCATATTTTATCAACCTGGCACCAAATGATCCTAAATTATATGAGAATTGTGATGAAATTGCTTAAAGAAGTATTAAAGAAATCCTTGGGGAGAGAGGGAGTACCCACCCGTGGTAACCCCCCCCCCTTCTGCCAGCTGCTCCCAATAAACATTTGTCTTCCACATACAAAATACTCCTACACTTATTTGCTCTTACAGTATTTATATCTTTATACTTCTGTACAGTATACACTTTTCTCTTTACTCATAAGACAAATTCTGTGGTTATTTTCATGTAACACTTCACAGTAAATAACAATCATCTCGGTGACAACAGTTGTTGCCAACCAGACTTATATATCTGATTTTTAACCCAGAGATTTCTGTTTCATATTTTTTTATTGTTGGTGTAATATTCTTTTAATAACCTTGTTATACACTTAAAGACCTTAGTTGTTGAAGTACAGTATTAACATTACAACAAATGATTATCTTTAAACAGTTCAGATCAGCAGTGTTATCTCCCCTTCCCATATATTCGTTTTATTTTTTTCGGACTGGGGTCTGCCCCAATTAGTCCGATTTGTTGAGGTTCTACTGTACTCTCATAAAATGTGGAAAATTAAATTAAAGAAAATTATTCCTTATTCTTAAATTTCATATTTAGAATGAGCAAATCTTTTGTAAAGTAGATTTTTAGTTGACACATGCTTTACTGTGGATTTTTATCATTAAAGGGTAAAATAATAATATTTTTATGGATCATTGGATGATAAAAGACAATATTATGTATTCTTTATGAAAAGTAAATTGCAAGAGATCATTGAATGTTTGTGGATTGTTACTGTAGCTACATGTGTTAAGGTAGATGTTTTTTTATTTTTTGTTGTCTTTTCCAGACTTTAGAAAAAAATTACAAAACTTGGTGTTCACTGAAGGAGAGGAAAATCCCAGATGATTTCGTTTTGAAGGACAAAGTAGAAGAAATTCTAATTGATGGACAGTTTCATAAGAAACGTGCAAGGCAGATGGATCAAGATGACTTCTTAGCATTATTACATGCTTTTAATAAAGAAGGAATTCATTTTGTATAGGGTGTTAAATAGTATATTGTAGGGAATATATTTTTCTTGCCATTTGAAAGGTCAACAATATTTTAATGTTACATAGAGAATGTTATTGATTGACCAGCTAAATTTGAAGTACCGGTATGTAGCTAATTTTGAATTGTTGAGTATGTGGGTCCCTGTCTCATTTCCTCCTGACTCACTGAGGGTGTCTCTGTTTTTCAGACATCTTGTTCTTTGAATTCAGAATGGGCTTAGATATATTTTTATAAGTATACATATATTTAAATCAGTTGAATGCCCAGTTGGATGTTTGTTCAGACTAACATCCCTTTAATAACTTGCCTTTGGTATATGTTATTTATTTAGGTGAATACAGTATTCTAGTTGTCAATGTAGGTATTTATGTGTTTTTAGATCTTTGTATTTATTAGAGAAAAAATGTAAATATATTCGTGTTGCCAAAGTTGAGGACAAATTTTTTCCCCATTAAAGTGGCATACTCAAATTGCATAGTCCCTCTTACAGGTAACTACAGCCACACCACCCATGCCTGAGTTTGAAACATCTTTAGAGGAATACTCTATATTACCTGAAGTTCAGAATTTAGCCTTTTCTGTTTTCCAAGTCTTAAGATAATTGTTTAAAGGTTTACACTGTCTGTGTCTGTCTTTGAAAAGAATACACACTGTTAATTTATTTCTCGTAAAAATTTGTCCAGTTCCTGGTGTATTAGAAAATTTTATTGAGAATATTTTTTGCCCTCTTGTACCCCTACTAGGATAGGATCCCTAGACTTTCTGGTAGTCCTTTCTAGTCTCCTAAATTAAAAGTAAATGAGAAGGCTGCTAGTTTAAGTTGAAGTCTCCCTCCTATTACCTAGAGATATATAATATATCCTCAAGGTCCTATCCCTTAAGCCTTCTAATATTTATCTAAATATTATTTGATATATCATGATGTCTTAAGCCAGATGTTTGTATAGTTTTGGGAAGGTAAAATAGCTTTGCTTGGGGTGCAAAAACATTGTTATGTGTTTGTTTACCGAATGAGGATAGTTTAGACTTTTTGTGTTGTAGGTATTTATGTTACAAGTTGATATTGGTTCTAGTCAGAATGGAATTCAGTTTTGTGATTCCACATGTTAGTTCTTGGGCATCAAATCATCAGACTATATTTTGTAGTATATGCAGTACACTGATATTTTGTAGTTTGATTATTTGATGGCAAAGAATGGGAGGTAATGGTTCAGTGCGGTAACTGATCCACAAGCGTTAGTATGTCCTATTTTAGGTAGCTAATAACATGAAGAATCCTCATAACTGTTATTGTTATAAGTACCAGCTTCTTGCATATTTGTTTAAACTGTAATTGGCATGTCTTTGAAATGACTTGTAAGGTTTTTAACCCAAGAATTTGTGAATTTTGACCTTAAATGTAAAGTATGTATTGTATTGAGATTTTTTAATTATGTAGTGAGTGGGCTTACAGGAAGTAATACAGATTATTTAAACATATTTTTCTTTCCTTAAAATACTCAGTTTTTCTTAAGTCATTGTAGACAATAGGAAAAGGCTTTTATACATGAAAAAGGTGAGAGTCTTTAGGTCTTTTCCCAATATATTGCCAGGTGGACACAACCAAGATTAGACAAAGACTGTTACTTTGCTGACATTCACTTGCTTTTAAATTTGTGAATTCCCATAAATCACCGAACACCATGCTTTCTTAACATTCACATCCTCCAGTTCTTCTAGCACATCCTCCACCCCACATCTTGTGCTTGGTCTTACCTCGCTTCTACCATCCAATTTTGAGCTTTACACATTTTATCTTGTCTTTTACTTTCATTTTCTTTGTGTCCATACCATTTTACCAATCCATGGTTGGCTCTCAGTATGACATTCCTTCCACTTTCTCATCTTTTTATTTACATCTTTCATATTCTGTGTATCATAACATAGTCATCTCAACATAAGTTTGCTTTTATCTTGGTTTTCTATTCCTCATCCTAGGTTCATGCTTCATAAACGTCCAATTTTGTTCGCTTAACTGTTCTTCTGTACTTTACCATCTTTGCCACATAAGTGAGACATACTTCTCATTTTGTTTTGTGATATGGTAACCATGTTTGCATTGGATTCCTGTTCAATTAAGGACTATGAATCAATAATAATGGCTTGTTTCTTTTTTGGGTTGATTGCATGTTTCTTGTTAAATTTAAGAATTAGTACAACTTGAACAGTATTCAATGATATACTGACCATTCTAGCTCCTGTCTTATGTGTTCCCAGTGGCATAGCTTTATTCTTTGAGGTATTATTGGACGTTTAGAAAAAAAGAAGGATGTACTGTAGAGTACAGTATACCAACATACCTTATCCTGCTCTGATTCAAGGTGACTGGACAGGAGCTACTCTGATTCATAACATTGAGAAGCTAGTTGGTTACCCAGTGCCCTTAGCAGGATTTTAGTCCTCCAAAGAGTTGATACATTACCAGCAAGTGCTTCTGATATCATATCCATATAGTGCTGATATGTTAAGTGTTACTGTAACTGCAGGGAACAAAATCCTTCAATCTAGCCAGGTCCCATGACCATTTTCTTGTATGGCAAATGCCCCCTCCCAAGTAAGTAAAAGAAAATTAAAAAGTTGCTTTGAAAAAGAGATGAATGAAAGTTCAATAAAACAAAGAAATTTTTGAAGGTGCGTAAATGAGGGGGTATTTTCATGAATACCTAAATATCAATTTGGGTATGTGAAATAATAGTGTGTGAATTTGTGTATGTAAAATAAGAGTGGTTGATCACTAACTTAGATGTATTAATTGAGAAGAAAAGATTAATAACTTGAGTGTATGAATTATTAAAAGCAAATTGTTATCTTGGGTATATTAGCATCCTCATAAGAAAAATGAAGTGAAAACTACAGTATCTTTGTGGCACACTGAAATGGTGCCCATGGCATGTAAAGTCAGAGGTTATATCACAGAAACAAATGGAAAAGATAAGTACAGTACCTGCAGTGGACTTGAAAGATGTTCACAGAAAGAAATTAGGTGACAATGTGTTATCTTTAGAAATTTGAAGTTAAAGGGAACAAATCACAGACTAAAGTCAGTACCTGGAACAGATGTTGGTTGTTACATACGGATGAGTGCGTGAGGGGAGGAAGGGGCGTACAGTAGAGATAGCACGTGTGTTCCAGGGGTATAAAGGAAAGGGAGATGTATCCCCAGTACAACCCCTCCCCTCTTATTTCTTGTCCCGGCTTTCAACCAAATTTGTGTTCTACCCCCTACCTTCCCTTCAATCTAAAGTGTGGTGGCCATTGGTGACCAAACTGTAATGTGGTGACTAGTGGTGACCTACTGGAGTGAGATGACCAGTGGTGACCAGACTGGAGTGTGGTGACAATAGCGACAAGTACAGTATAATCTGGCGAGTGATAGCTACAGGTGGCTGTCATCAGCGGGCAAGATCCTTCATAATTCACCTGCAGTTGACAGGAAGACAGCAGTCTGTATCGTTTTAAGTACCCGAAAGAAGAGAATAACCTAACATACTTAAATGAAAATAAGTTTTACGATAATTCTGGGCCCCGTTCGAACCTGTGGTCGGTAGTAATGTATCATGTTGTGATTATCAGTGAGTCTGAGTGTATGGAGTTTAGTGGTAGCAAGTAACCTCACTGTCGCAACTAATACTTCTAATTTCTATCATTCATGTAATCAACGTTCATGTCATTATTGTTATTGCTATAATTATTAGAGTCCCGCCAACAAATTTCTAGTATCTATTCATACTGAAGGTACCGCTCAATATTGCAGTGTGATTCAGGACCCAAGTGGCAGCAATCTTAGATTTCCTTCTTTCTATCTTGCTTTAATTTTCTGGCTGTCAACGTCTGGGTCATTACCTGCTGTAAGATTTCCAAAAACCTCTAGAAGTAGTGGAACGGTTAATGTGATATTCTGTATACATGGTTGATACACCGCAGTGCTTTTAACTTACAAAGAAGAATGTACTAAATAAAACTATATAATTTCCTTAGGTAAACCAAAACTGTCCTCTCTCTGACTCTTCAAAAATTTAACTGAATCAAACAAAGCGACTACTGTACAGATAACTTGTTCTTAACTGAAACAAAGAATAAATCTGGCTTGGTACCTGTTACCGCCACAGTAAGATAAGCTAGAAGAGAGAGAGAAAGAGAGGGATAACCATAATAAGATAAACTAGGCGAGAGAGAGAGAGAGAGAGAGAGAGAGAGAGGGGGTGAGATAAGAGATATAGTGTTGACAACGAATTTGCTGACCAATCTGCTGAGGTGTTTCAATACGAAAACATATGGCCCTCGCCTCCGGGCTGAGATTGCCCTCGAGGGTAGTCTACTGATTTCTACAGGACAGAACACACGTTGGTTCAGACCACTAGACCCTAAAACGTGAGTGATCGTGAAGTATTAGAATCTGCTAAGAAACTCTAAATAACTTTAATAAGTATATTTGTGTACTGTAATTTGATCATATTATACCAATTGTCTCCTGTATCAATAGTTATAACATGCGAGTTATATTTAAGATGTTAACAGGCTATGTACTGTATATTGATTGTATTATTCATACTATGTGTCCTGAGATAACAGCATTTATTATATGAGAAATGTTCTTTAGCAGGTTTTGATCGAATTATATGGTACGCGTCAACGTTGAGGGTTTATTTCTCCAGCAACAAACCAATAACGCTCCTATGAGCGTAAACAGTCAAAACGTGAGGTCATCTGGAAGCAATTGAGGATCCGTTATCGCAGGGTGAAGAAAGGAAGAGGATCTTAATTTAGAAGGACTGGACGTCGTTCAATATTGTTCAGACGATCGCGCGCGAGTGTCAGTGTTCATTGTGGATAGCCACACCAGCTACAAAAAAAAAAAATAAATAAATAAATAAATAAAATTGGTTTCAGAAAGACTGGTCTCTGTACCAAATGTGTTCGGACAGAAACGAGGGAGAGTTTAGTGATCAAACGTACAGGCAAACTAGGTCGCCAAGTTTTAAGTGGTAAGTTTAAGTAGTGTATGTGTGTGTGTAATTAAGAAATAACAGCAAAGATTGTGACAAGCCGTAACGTTGTACAAGTAAGGGCGCCGCAGTAGTGTTTGTGACATCAGTTGTGTAACGAGTCCCTACATGGATTGTGGATCTCTGTGGTTGTGTTAGTGTGACATCGTAGCTGGTGTGTGACATCACTGTAGTAGTGTTTGTGTGACATCACTCGTGCGTATTACACGTCACGTGTTCGAGGAACATCGCTCGTGTGTGACATCACTGTGGCCATGTTAGTATAATATCGTCGCTCGTGCGTGACATCACTGTGGTCGTGTTTGTGTGACATCACTCGTGCGTATTGCACGTCATGTGTTTGAGGGACCGTGTGACATCACTGTGGTCGTGTTTGTGTGACATCACTCGTGCGTATTGCACGTCACGTGTTTGAGGGACCGTGTGACATCACTGTGGTCGTGTTTGTGTGACATCACTCGTGCGTATTGCACGTCACGTGCTTGAGGGACCGTGTGACATCACTGTGGTCGTGTTTGTGTGACATCACTCATGCGTATTGCTCGTCACGTGTTTAGAGGGACTTCGCTCGTGTGTGACATCACTCGTGCGCATGGCACGCGTCTGTGTGACATCAACTCCAATTGTGTGATATCTGCGATCATGGGCACCTGATACTAAGCGTTACTGCATACACTTATCGAGCAAGACAGATTACGCTTGCTGTTCGGGCAGTCATGGACGGGAAAGAGAATAAGTCAGAAGTGGGGAGCGTGTCCGGCGTAGAACAAGGAAACACTGTGGACATAGAGACCGATGTCTCACCCACCTCGCCAAGGCAGCGTGAGATAAACCCGTCTACCGTAAACCTGTCTCACCGAGAAGAGAAAGGAACCATCTGTTAAAGGAATCGAAGGACAATTATGTGAGCAATACCAACAAATGCAGCAAATGTTCGCTCACATGACAGCGATGATGCAAAACGTCACCGAAGGTATGAATCAACTACAAGGCAAGGGCAGCACAGAAGATCGCGGAAAGGTGTTATCACCACCAGAGACTAAACTTTCCTCTGTAATTGAAACTAACGAAGAAACGTTATATACTCCAAGAGGACTCCCGGCGCTCACCTTAACTGCAGAGCCGGGAACATCTGACCAGGGGGAGCGTGGAAGTACTTCCGAACATCAAGCTAGTTTGCCGAAACCACTACCTTTGATGAAAGACAAAAGGGACGACCCACCGAGGTCCGAGGTTTGGGTGAGAGAACTGCTAGAGAACTACGTCAGATTGACACGTATGAATCAATAAGCACATTAGCTGAGAGGTTCAAGGGAAAGATGAGGGACGACTACGTGGATAAGGCGCATAAATACAAAAGGAAGTGGGGAAAGCTTCCTGGGATCGAGTGGATGTTGGAATTCACAATGGATATGGTCGACAAGGCGGAGGAGG